TTTATCCTTTTAAGTTATTTAAACACATAATAGTCCCAAACTCAAGAAAGACAAATTTAAGATAGATCGTTTTAACCTAAAAGAAGTGCCTCAATGTGTATTGATGGTGAAAGAATATGTTTGTAATAAATAAAACCATGATGAAAATGCTTATATTTAGTTTCAAACACACGTGTGTGGCCTACAGTATATTATAAATAAGATAAGCCCTACGTATTGTTTTCTATACGGGGAGTGGGGTGGGGTGGGTATGGTAAATTACTAACCGGGAAAATAAATACCCACTCTGACCCAAGACCCCTGTTACGCGCCTGGTGTTAGCGCCAAAGTGGCCCTTGTGCGGACAGGGGATGTTCCCCCCCCCCCTGAAGCTGGAAACCTTGTTTTTGCAAAATAAATTAATGCAATTTGCTATCATAGGCCTAATCAATAAATTCCTCATCAACCGATATATATCTTGGAACTGACATAACATAACTGATGTCGTACACACCCTTCAGTGTGAAATGTGGCTCTCTTTGCAAGCACATCTAACATCTAAGGAAAGAAGAGCATAGATTGGTACCAGATAAAATAATTTTGTTATCAACATTAATACATTATGCTAATTTTCATCTTTGTAAGTACAGTACATAAGACAGTGCAAATTATTACTGTGACAGTCATTTGAAGTGTATAAAGCTCCATTTTATCCCATACATAGTCAAAATATTGGGGGGGGGGGGAGGTGATACAATGGACCATCAACCCCTTGTCAAATATTGGGGGATATATCCCCTATCCCCCGGGATCTACGCCTATGTTCGTAGGGGAGAAAAACAAATTTACGTATTATATGAAGGGTGTAAAATCGAAGTATACAACTCCTCGCACATACGGTAGTCCTGGTCGCACTAAACAGTTTTTAATCAATAGTAAATAAGAGAATGCTGACAAATGGGCTGCATCTAACAGACGAACTTTATTATACTTGTTATAACTGGTAGATACAAAAAGTTACTGTATTTGAAATGTACATGTACAAACAAATGTTAAGTAATATTAAAATGTTTAAATCACACCAGATAATTCAATAAAAGAGTACTGATTACAACATTAAAATACAAAAGGGAAATGTACAAATTACAGTCAACTGTGCATCATAATAAAAGTGTTAAATAATATTCATAGTTATTTGTAGACAACACTATCATGTTGAAATGCAGAATAGACTTAGTTCTCTCGGTGTGAAACTTAGTTCTTTACCTTTATACTGATCCCCAGTGGTCCTGCCATAATTTCCAAAATTCCATAGGGAAAGGAAAAAGATGCATGGAAATTTTATAAAGGGGACAATTATGATGTGGGCGGAGGTACTCTCGGATTGTTCTCTAGTTATAATTTGAAGTGGTAGGTGGAATAGCCATATTTAACATTACATACAATAGTAAATAAGGGAATGCTGACAAATGGGCTGCATCTAACAGATTAACTTTATTACACTTGTTATAACTGGTAGATACACAAAAATAGGGCCTACAAGTTACTTTATTTGAAATGTACAAACAAATTTTAAGTAATATTAAAATGTTTAAAATATACCAGATAATTCAATAAAAGAGTATAAGTACTTATTACAACATTAAAATACAAAAGGGAAATGTACTAATTACAGTCAACTGTGCATCATAATAAAAGTGTTAAATAATATTCATAGTTACTCGTAGACAACATTATCATGTTGGAATGCAGAATAGAGACTTAGCACTCTTGGTGTAAAACTTAACATCATTAATTAACCATTCAATGTTAACTAAACTATTTGAATTATAAAAGTTCTTTACTTTTATACTGATCCCTACTGGTCCCGCCCAAATTGGACTAAAAATGAACATTTTATCATTTTGGTTTTGTCGATTCACTATTAGTTTTAAACTAACGTATGCATAACAGGGGCGGTGCCAGTGGGGGGGGGGGAGCAGGGGATTAAAGGCCCCCACCAGACAGTTCAAGCCCTAACATCAGACAGAGCTCGTCGGGCAGTTGGACTCTGGTCTATGAGCTCAAGTCCCCCTGTCGGACAGCTCAGCCCTTCACCCCCAGAAAATATATCCTGGAGCCGCCACTGATGCATAAGGGAATATGAATATAAGATTATAGGAATAGCTAATAAAAAACATACTGTAGTTGTTAAATATACTACATTATGTAAAAATTACCAATAGACTCATAAGCTGATATCAGAAAGTTGCTGTCTGCTCCCCTCTAGTTTCATATATACTTACATTTTTACAGGAATATGGCTACATTTTATTGGAATCAGCAGAAATGTAATTATATATGTTATATATATAATTATATATTATAATTATATATAATTATAATAATATTATAATTATAATGTAATTATATATTATATATGTAGTTATATATGTTATATATGTTCCCCTTATTGTTTAATGATGCAATGTTAAAAATGAATAGAGTAACATGTTATGGTATGGCCAGGATTAAAAGCCTATATGAAAGTACACAAAAAACTAAGAAATAAACAATCCCCATGGTTAAGTAAGCGTCAAAAGTGAGAGAGATCGGTTTATACAAAGTAAACACATGCAGTAGGCCCAGACTGATATTTACTCTTAAGGTTTCCGAGGAGAAAATTCTCTTTAATTGCTCAAAAGCTGACAAATATAAAGTTGAATGAATTTTTCTAATTTTGCGACTGCTGTAGTTGTGATGAATGAAAAAAAAGTGTCTGTAAGGGTAATTAAATGTTTATAAAGATTATTTGATCATTTGGCACACTCAGAAAGTGTCCCATCCCCTAATAGGGGTTGGCAACAAATTCAAAAGATATATGTCCCCCTTTTTCATGGAAAAAGAGTCCCCTTAATAGGGTTGTCTAAAAGGAGGGGTTTCTGTAACACAAAAATGATAAAACTAACTTCAATGTTGATTAAACAAATACCAATTTTTGGTTTATTTCTTTCAATGCAATGACAAGAGTGTGTTTACAATTAGCACAAAAGTAAAGTATGGGGAGGGGGCTGTGTTTGAGAATTTTGTTTAGAATGCTTAAGAGCAAACAATGGTATGAAATTTTAATTGAAATATAGCTTATTTAATACGTCCTTCACTCTTTCTCTTCTTTTTGCTTTTTTCTTTTTTTTTTGTGGGGGGGGGGTGAGGTGGGCCCAATTTCCTGGTGTACACTGGATCTGCACCTGAAAATAAGTAGTAATTATCTGTAAGCTCACTGCCCGCCCGACTAAGCATTTATTATCATTACTGTTTGTAAGCAAACAATTACTCAATCTGAAACATTATCCTGATTAACTCAGCAGAAGATTTATCATTAATTCAGAAAGGTCATTACCCTCAAAAAAACAAAAACAAAACATGCTGCTTTTCAATGCTACATTCATTCTATGATATTCCTCAATCATTATATTAATAATTCTACCTGTCAAACTGCAACAACTCATGTCAATATAGACCAGGTTTGTAGAGATCGTACAAAGGCTAATGTTCTCCCACTGATTGAAGATAGGTTAATCCCACTCATGTATATCCTCTTTAAATTCAATGTCTCATTCCCACCTATTGATTCAACCAGATTTTCTAAATTATTTGCTGTGAGTGAGTAATCAATCCATTTAAATGTAAAACAATAAATTACCTTAACTATTAAACTTAGCAAGTGATTTAACATGAATATCTGAAAGGTTATTACCTTCCAAACTAAGCATGTTGTGTTTCAACACTACATTCATCCTATGACATTCCTCCATCATTTCATTAATAATACTACCTGATATACTACAATGTCTCATGTCAATATGGATCAAGTGTGTAGAGATCTTACAAAGGAAAGCTAATGTTCTCCCACTGATTGAAGATAGATTAATTCTACTCATGTCTATCCTCTTCAAATTCAATGTCTCATTCTCACCTATTGATTCAACCAGCTTATCTAGATTATTTGCTGTAAGTGAGTAATCACTCCATTTAAACGTAATATCAGGTTGTGGATCAGAATAATCTCTCAATCCAAAGGGATTAATTTCATTTCTCCTTATTAAGCGGTAAGAGTAATTATTCCCTCTAAAGGAATCATCACAGGGATTAATTACACTGACTAAATTAGCAAGTGATTTACCATCAATATCTGAAAGGTTATTACCTTCCAAACAAAGCATGTTGTATTTCAATGCTACATTCATCCTACGACATTCCTCCATCATTTCATTAATAATATTACCTGATAAATTACAATGACTCATGTCAATATGGGTCAGGTGAGTAAACACCTTACAAAGGCAAGCTAATGTTCTCCCGTTGATTGAAACTAAGTTATTGTTACTTGTATCAAGTTTGGTTAATTTACACCTAACATGAGTTTCATGCATTTTACAATATTCCTCCATCATTTCATTAATAATACTACCTGATATACTACAATGACTCATGTCAATAATAGTCAGGTGTGTAGAGACCTTACAAAGGCAAGCTAATGTTCTCCCACTAATCGAAGATAAGTTAATACTACTCATGTCTATCCTCTTCAAATTCAATGTCTCATTCTCACCTATTGATTCAACCAGCTTATCTAGATTATTTGCTGTAAGTGAGTAATCACTCCATTTAAACGTAATATCAGGTTGTGGATCAGAATAATCTCTCAATCCAAAGGGATTAATTTCATTTCTCCTTATTAAGCGGTAAGAGTAATTATTCTCTCTAAAGGAATCCTCACGGTGATTAATTACACTGACTAACTTAGCAAGTGATTTACCATCAATATATGAAAGGTTATTACCATCCAATCTAAGCATGTTGTCTTTCAACGTTACATTCATCCTACAACATTCATCCATCATTTCATTAATAATACTACCTGATATACTACAATGACTCATGTCAATATGGATCAATTGTGTGGAGATCTTACAAAGGAAAGCTAATGTTCTCCCACTGATTGAAGATAGGTTAATTCTACTCATGTCTATCCTCTTCAAATTCAATGTCTCATTCTCACCTATTGATTCAACCAGCTTATCTAGATTATTTGCTGTAAGTGAGTAATCACTCCATTTAAATGTAAAACCATAAATTACCTCAAGTAACTTAGCAAGTGATTTACCATCAATATCTGAAAGGTTATTACCGCCTAAACTAAGAAGGTTGTCTTTCAACACTACATTCATCCTACAACATTCTCCCATCATTTCATGAATAATACTACCTGATAAAGTACAATGACTCATGTCAACATGGATTAGGTGTGTAGAAATCTTACAAAGGCAAGCTAATGTTCTTCCACTGATTGAAGATAGGTTAATCCCACTCATGTCTATCCTCTTCCAATTCAATGTCTCATTCTCACCTACTGATTCAACCAGCTTATCTAGATTATTTGCTGTAAGTGAGTAATCACTCCATTTAAACGTAATATCAGATTGTGGATCAGAATAATCTCTCAATCCAAAGGGATTAATTTCATTTCTCTCTCTTAAGCGGTAAGAGTAATTATTCCCTCTAAAGGAATCACCACAGTGATTAATTACACTGACTAAATTAGCAAGTGATTTACCATCAATATCTGAAAGGTTATTACCTTTCAAACGAAGTATGTTGTCTTTCAACGCAACATTCATCCTACGACATTCCTCCATCATTTCATTAATAATACTAAATGATAAATTACAACAAGTCATATCAATATGGGTCAGGTGTGTAGAGATCTTACAAAGGCAAGCTAATGTTCTCCCACTGATTGAAGATAGGTCAATCCCACTCATGTCTATCCTCTTCAAATTCAATGTCTCATTCCCACCTATTGATTCAACCAGCTTTTCTAAATTATTTGCTGCGAGTGAGTAATCACTCCATTTAAATATAAAACAATAAATTACCTCAAGTAACTTAGCAAGTGATTTACTATCAATATCTGAAAGGTTATTACCATTTAAACTAAGCATGTTGTCTTTCAACTCTACTTTCATCCTACAACATTCCTCCATCATTTCATTAATAATACTACCTGATATACTACAATGTCTCATGTCAATATGGATCAAGTGTGTAGAGATCTTACAAAGGCAAGCTAATGTTCTCCCACTGATTGAAGATAGGTTAATCCCACTCATGTTTATTCTTTTCCAATTCAATGTCTCATTCTCACTTATTGATTCAACCAGCTTTTCTAGATTGTCAGCTGTAAGTGAGTGATAACCCCATCTAAATTCATCATCATCATCATCATCATCAAGGTGATTAATTACACTGACTAACTTAGCAAGCGATTTACCATCAATATCTGAAAGGTTATTACCGTCCAAACTAAGCATGTTGTCTTTCAACGCTACATTCATCCTACAACATTCCTCCATCATTTCATTAATAATACTACCTGATATACTACAATGACTCATGTCAATATGGATCAAGTGTGTAGAGATCTTACAAAGGAAAGCTAATGTTCTCCCACTGATTGAAGATAGGTCAATCCTACTCATGTCTATCCTCTTAAAATTCAATGTCTCATTCTCACCTACTGATTCTACAAATTTTTCTAGATTATCAGCTGTGAGGGAGTAATTACTCCATATAAATGGCTGTGGGTCAAAATTCTCACCTATCAACCAATGTTTCAGCAATATACAAGCATCGTTAGCACCAAGAAATCCTACTGTAAATACACTTGTCATATGTAAAAATTTATTACACCTAATAACCTCATATTCATCAGCTTTTAAACTCCCTTTTTTGATTTGTTTAAATAGGTAAAATCCTGCTAGTGCCTCTGAAATTAATTTATGTGGGGTTGTGTAAATCTCCCTATTATCCCCTGGGAGAACAGGGCTATCTTTATAAACAAATCCAAGTTTCAGTGCTAAACAAACCAATTTTTCATTTTTTGCTATCTTTGACAAAATATATTTGTCAATAGACAGTTTATTTTCCTTTAAACTTCCATACATACACTCTCCCAATACTTGAATAGCATCTGTATATATTTCTGGAATTCTGTCAAATTGGGAAATAGAATGTTTTATGCCACCCCTGTTTTGGTACTGATTTAAAAAGGCACAAAATAATTCCTTGAAAAGACCTGACAAATCTGATGGAAGGCACTGTCTATAATGCCATATGTCGCAAATCATAAGCAGTAACAGTGGAGATGAGCACAACTCAAATGCTCGGTTTAAATTTTTATAATGATATTGATCTACATCCCAATCATCATAATCATAACTATCATCCTCATCATAATCATTACTGTCATCCTCATCATTATCATCCTCAACAACAGCATTAAGTCCGAACTCACTTATTAGTGACATTCCCATTTCAGCTTTACAGAGTGAGTGAAAATGATTATGAATATATTTCTTGATGTTTCTCCGACTGAATCCTTTTACTTTTATATGCACATCACAGCATTTAATCAATTTAACTGTGCTGTCAGGTCGAGATGACATCAACACGGTGCATTTTTCTAATTCAGTCCCCTCAAATAGATTTATTGGATCTTTAGCACCTCTTTCTAACTCATCATATCCATCTAACAAAATCACTATTTTGTCAGCATTGATGACCAGAAAAGCTTCAACTGCATCAGCTGGTAAGTTGTGTTCATATAATAATGCTTTTAAATCAAATTTCTTTGTCATTATGTCATAAAATGATTCATTTGCTTTAATGTCTCTGATATTTATCAGAAACAGTAATTTATTAGCAAAGGCATTATATACACCATCAGAAGCCCACTGATAGGCAATATATCGAAGAAGGGTAGTCTTACCCATTCCTCCTTTTCCTGTAATTAATACCTTACATGATTCTGTTGATTTAATAACATCTAACACCTCATTTAATGATGTGGATCTACCTTTGAATTTTATAAATGATGAGATGGCTTTTGATTTTCTGTCTTTTTTTGTAGATTGCATTAAGACGAGTTCAGTAAATACTTGTGCAATATCTACTTCATGATCTTCATGCCAGATTGTTGGTGTCATTAGATTCACATCCTGATACAAATTTTTCTGCCTTCTAGTCAGGAAATCTCTAATAATTACATCTGGAATAAAATCAAACAACAATAATATATTTCTGCATTAATTTATGTTCATTATTTCAGCACAGAAATATTAGCAGTATATATAAACTACTATCAAAACCACTATCAGTATGTGAATTTATGAGATATTCTATGCCAAAGTGGACAAGACTAAACAAAAATGAAATTGTTCATATTCATGAATGATTTTACCAAGGGGCTCTATTTTTCAGGAATGACAACTTTTG